ATGCATCAAGGGTATCCCTGTATTGATTCATCAAGGGATACAATTCCCATCTCTACCGACTTCTAATATGGTACCTAAGCATGAAATCTGAGTGACCCTTAAAAAGGCAATGACTCTACATCCTGGACTTGGGGGATGGCCAGGCTAGCTCTGTACAATTCTGAACAGGCACCATTCAATAAACTAGGAGAATGGTCCAGAATACATGGATGGGAGTCCCTGATGTTGTCCAAAGCTTTAGATGGCCTCTATTTTCAATATTCTGGAAAATATTCAGAGCAAATACCCCAATTTTCGGTTAGAAGAATGTAGTTCTCTTATCCATGACATCTACTCTTTTATGCCTAGCAACACCTCACCTTCCCTTTTTTTTGGTACTGATTTTGAGAAATCATTTTCCCTCACTCCATGCTTTCTTTTTGTGAACATCAATTAGAGGTCCCATGACTAGGCAACCTCCCTGACCAGGGGTTGGCCTCGCTGAGTCATATGCCCATCAGACTCCTTCCTAGGACTCTGAATGATGACCACAGTGTTCAAGGATGGCCCATGTTGAAGTGCACATTAACCATCTGAGGACGGAGCTCGGAACTTTCCCTTGTTTCTTCCTCCCCAGATTCCTGATGCCCTCCTGGTTTCTGGCCTTGCACAGACTCAGGTATTTTCGCTTTTCTGTAAACTGCCCCACTCCTTCCATTCACTTCCTTTTCTGCTAAATCAGCCAGTTAGTTTCTGTTGCCTGCGATATACCCCAGCTGATATAACACCAAATTTAAAAATCCAAAGAAAGGAGCCAAAGCAACAGCTTGGTTTACTCCTGACTTGGCCATGAGAGACCTGGCTTCCACTCCCAGCTCCGCTGCTTCTCAGCTGTGCGGCTCTGTCTTTGGGCAGGTCGTTGCTAAGCATCAGCTTGCTCATCTCTAAAATGTTTCATAAATATTTCCCGAATGCCTTGGGTGCCAGGCAAAGACAATCATAGTGCAGTTTTATATATTTCTGAAAAACATTTATGTCCCATAAGGATTTCTGAACCACATGAAATGAAGTTCCTGAGAACATTTTATCAGATATAAGAGATTATCTAAATAAATAAAACCTTTTCTTTCTGAGTATCTGAAAAATTACTTGTGCCCCAGCCCCCCAGGGGTAATGTGGAATTCTTTCTACAGATAATTTAGTTGTTGGATCTAATGTGGTTACTTTGTTGACATTTAATACATTCACCCAATCACTGCCTAAGGCTTTCTTGGGTATATTTTAATAGGGCAATTATATAAAATCTCTCTGTCGGCAAAATACAATTTTGGGGGGAGTCAATTAAGAAACCCAGAGTACTTCTCTGTATTAATTTTCTGAATAATTATTTTATAAAAATCATGTACACACAAAAATCCAACACTTTTGTCCTTCTGTGCAATACTGTAAGACTCTTATTTTGATACTAGGGCACAGTGGCCGACTTTTGGCAAGAGTGACTTGAGGATATAATTAATAGTTGACATACACTCTGCTTCCTGGACTCTTGATTTCTCTGGGAACATATTTAGATCTGGGCAACAATGACCTACTTGCACAGCTGGATTTATTCTATTCTTAAATCTCTGGAAATATCCAAGTCAATGTGAAAGGTGCAAATGAAATATAAGTCACTAAGCCTGGGTTTTAAGGAGAGAAACAAATCATTTGAGATGAATGAAACCGTAGTTCAACCCTACAGTAAGGAATTTGTTCAAGATTACAGGCTATCTTGACTCAAGACATGAAGACATTTGCACACATGTGTATATACACATATACAGGGACACAAATGGAACCAACCAGTGAATCTCAGGAAAATGCTGCTAAGAATGTGGTTATCATAGTTCAGGTTTCAGATCCAGGTTCTATGTAGGGTTCTACGTCCCATAATCCCTCTTTGCCTTTGAAGCCAAAACAATATAGCTCTGAAGTCATAGAATTTTTGTTGTCGAAGGATCCTTAGAAGTCATCTAATCATATCTGTCACTTGACGCTAGAGCTCCCTCTGCAAATCCCCCCCAAGATAGTCGATATATTGTCTGGAGAGAGTCAGTTTTGCATAGTGGTTGAATGCACACGCTTTGGGGCAGAGACATAGCTGGGTTATCCAGGCTTTACCACTTACTAGCAGTCACCTAGGGTAAATACCTTAACCTCAGTTTCTTCTTTTATAAACAGTAGGTGATAACAGTACCAGCCTCATAGGGTGACTTGTGAAGCTTGAATGAGCTAATAAACGTATGGTGTTTGGCCCATAGTAAGGACTTGGCACACAATAAGTGCTCAAACAAAATGTTAGCTAGCATGGGCTACTATCAGTAATAGAGAGGCCCATTCCAAAGTTAAAACAGCAGCTCCAGCTGCTAGGAAGGCCAAAATTGGCTGTCTGCTGCTTCCCTCCCATGGGTCCTAGTCTGCCCTACAGAGCTTAACCAAAGCCCTGAATCACTATCGACAGGGAAGGCAGTGCTCATGGTCCACCTGAGTCTCCCTGTTATCAAGCAGAATGGGCCCAGCTTCACTGATTGTTCCTCCTGTCACCCTCCATGGCCCATGCCCTCTTCCCTGGACAGGCTCCAGCCTGCTGGAGCCCCTTTTAAAGTGGCATCTGTTTGGCTTTGTTTACATGAGGCTATCATATTGACCATCTTGACAGAAAAGCTCAGTCCACGAGGGGTAGGGTGGGGTGGGTGCATCACCTAACCCAGCCTTAGACTGTGGTTAACCGAAGCCCAGAGGCTGCTGTCAAGGGTTTGCCAATTAGGGAACCAGTTAACCAGCCTCTTGCCAGCTGTCCAACATCTGGCATCTCAGCTTCCTCACCTGTGAAACAAAGGGAATAACAGTACCTCTCTCACTGAGTAATAGTGGGGATTCAACGAGGTAACACTTCCTTTACTCCCATTCTTTCTTGACGTCTCTTCCAGTCCAGTTTTAATGCCCACTAGTCCACTGAAACTGCTCCCATCACAGTTACCAAGGATCCTCACATGGTCAGAGCCAATGGTCAAGCCTTGGCCTTCATCTTTCTTGACCATTTAGCAGCACTTGTCGCAGTTGATCGTGTTTTCCTTCTTCAAACGCTTTCTTCGCTTGTCTTACAGGACACCACCCTCTCCTGGCTGTCTTCACCTCTCTGGCTACCCTTTCACAGTCTCTGTTGCTGGATCCTTTTCCTCTTCTCAAGCTCTAGATGCTCTAGAGGTCCCAGGTCAGGCCCATTCAGTATCTACACTCACTCCCTAGGTAACCTCATCCAGTGTAATACTGTGGATAAGAGCCTGGAGTGGATAAGAGTGTAGAGTCAAACTGCTTGGGGTGAGTCCCAGCTCTGTAATTCCCTCTGTTGTGGAGGGAAGTGATTTAACCTCTCTATGCCTCAGTTTCCACATCCATAAAATGGGGAGTAATTTCCTCAAGTTTTGGTAAAGATTAAATCAGTTAAAACAGATAAAGTGTTTAGAATGTGGTAAGCATTCTATACATGTTAGCTACTATCCAGTTCCATGGCTTTATCCACTATAAAGATACTGATGTTGCCCAGATGTATATCCCCAGTGCCCACCATTCCTCTGAACTCTAGTCTCATATCTAAATGCCTCCTGGCATCTTCATGTTGATATCAAACAAGATCTCAAAGTTCACACATCTGAAACTGAATGCTGACTCCATACCATCTCCCACCCTTCTTTCCCTGGTCTCTCCCATCTCTCTAACAGGCATCACTCTTCACCCAGTTGCTTAGAGTCACCCTCAACTCTCTTTCTTCTCTCATCCAACTTTCAGCAAAACTTGTTACTCCATTTTCAAAATACAACCAGAACCTGACCTCTTCTCACTACTTCCACCACTACAACCTGGACCAGTCCACCATCTGTGATACCACCTAATTGGTACCCGTTTCCCTTCTTGCTCCTGTACAATCTGTTCTCTACCCAGGAGCCAGCGTATACCTAAAAAATCAAAATCAGATGTTGCTCCCCTGCTCAAATGCTCCAGTGACTTCCCATCACACTTGGAATGAAATCTAAATTACTCTCATTTCCTAACAAGGCTCTTTGTGACCTGCCTTTGCCTACCTCTTGGCCTCATCTGCTACCACTCTCTCCTGCCTACTCCACTCCAGCCACACAGTCTGCCTTGTTTGTCCAATTTCACAAGCAAGTTCCTGCTGCAGGGCCTTTGTATGTGCAGTTCTCTCTACCTGGAATGTTCTTCTCTCACATCTTCCTATGACCCTTCCTCATTCCTTTAATTCCTCATTCCTTCCTCATTCAAATAGTTATTTATTAGAGAGGCCTTCCCAGTCCACCGCATCTATCTGTCCCTTTATCCTATTTTTCTTCATAGCACTTAATAACACATCTGACAATACATGTTTTTTGTTTGTCATGCCTACTAGAAGGTCAGCTCCTTGGGGGCAGCAGCTTTATTCTGTTTTGTTCTATCCATAGCACCCAAGGTGTGTCTGGGACACAGGAGGTGCTTAATAAATGTTTATTTGTTTGTTTTTTAAATGTATGAAGGGCTTCCCTGGTGCAGCAGTGGTTAAGAATCTGCCTGCCAGTGCAGGGGACATGGGTTCGAGCCCTGGTCCGGGAAGATCCCACATGCCGCAGAGCAACTAAGCCCATGCACCACAACTACTGAGCCTGCATGCCACAACTACTGAAGCCCGTGCACCTAGAGCCCATGCTCCGCAACAAGAGAAGCCACCGCAATGAGAAGCCCATGCACCACAACGAAGACCCAATGCAGCCAAAGATAAATAAATTAAAAAAAAAAAAAAGTGACTAGTGCTTAGCACAGTTCCTGGGTCAGAGTCAATAGCTATAAGTTTATGATGTCAAGTTTAGAAGTTAAAAAAATGTTGAACAGAAATGCCAAAAGTCTTTAGTGATACTATTTAAGATGTCAAAAATAAAAATATCATATTTTCACCCAATTTCAATATATATACACACTTATATTGTACTTACTCGGAGTTTCTTCTAAAATTTCTTGGAACTTGGTTCTCTCATAATCTACCAACTGGCGTTGGAGATGTGGTCTCAGACTCCTAATTGTAAAATTGACCATGTCCATTTTCATGAGATCCAGGACATGAAATATTTGTCTAAAAATTTTAGAGTTAAAATAGTTAGAGAGGTGATTAAGAAATCAATCTGAAATTCATTAACTATTACTAATTTTACAGGCTGGAAAATATAAACATCCACGAAATGGTTTTAAAATTCCAATCACTTTGACAAGGTCACTTTTCACAAAAGGCATTATACATGCATTCCAAATGTATTCTTCCAGAGATCTCAAGAGTATTTGCTTTAGCAAATATACCTCCAGCTGATCCATTACATTCAGCCATAAACTGATAGACACTAAGAAGCATAAACAATGAGTCTTAACAATGAGACAAAAAAGATTCAAGAAGGAATTTTCATTTGAAATTTTATGGAGTCTGAACATAGTGTACATTGTTTCTGTTCCTAAGGAAAGAAGAAAAAGAAAAGGAAAGAAAGGACAGGGCAGTAAAGCACAAGGGGGAAAACACTGCATTTTAGAGTTAGGCAGCCCTGTATTCAATTGCAGCTTTACAACTGACCAGCTCTGTGGCCAGGAACAAGTTACTCAATCTCTCTGAGCCTTAGTTTCTTCATCTGTGAAAGAAAGGGACAAGATCAACCTTGGAGGGATGTTGTGAGAGTCAATGAGATAGTGAACACAAAATGCAGGGGAGAGTGACAACCAGTAGGTGCTCAATACACGAGGAAGATGAACACCACAGAAAATCCTTCAAAGCAAGGATTCTACAACTGGAGAATCTCAATCTGCCAGAGCTGAGTGCAACTCTAAGGATACTTACAGCCTATTTTACAGATGGGGAAAGTGTGACTTTGAGAGGTTGTCAACTTTCCCAGAGTCATAAAGTAAGTAACCCATCATGTGCAAACCAGCTTCCTTTCCCCTTCCCTTTCCTATACTATTACGTGAAACTTAGTTCTCAATGTGGCTGTATTCTCAAAAAAAGGAGAATAATTCCCCTCAATGGCAAAAAGTACTGCAGACTCCTCTCTCCTCTGGGATCACAAAGAAATTACTGTCTACACAGCCAGATTAGAGTCTTACGATCTTACTGTACACATCACTTCCTGAAGGAAGCTGTGGCAGAGATAGCTAGACGATCACCAAAGGTCCATGTTGCCTTCCTGCAGTGTGGATTTGTGGCTGGGAAATGTGTTCCCAGACAGCAGCCACATTTCCCAGGCCACCTTCAATGTAGGTGGTACCATGGGACTAGGTATAGTCAATGTAATGCATTGCTTCTGGGCCTAGGTGGTTAAACACTGGATATGCCTTCCTCATGATCTCTTTCCCATTCACCAGCTAAATGTAAAGGACTCCAAGGAGCTGGGCGAGGGTGGAGCCAAGGAGAGAAGGAGCCTTGGTCCCTGAATGACACATGGAAGGCTGCCTGACCAAGAATCCCTGACTCGGACTCTGACATGAGTGAGAAACAAACGTTTATTGGTTAAATCACTGAGAACTCAGGGTTTACATGTCATAGCAGCTAGCAATACCCTAACTAATGAAGAAGACTTCCTGGATCCTTAACTAGGTTAGGTCCCCCTGCTGGAGGCTCCATTAATCCCCTCTACTTCCCTTTTCATAGCACTTATCACAACTGTAATTCCTTGTTCAAGAGCTGTCTCACCATTAGACTGTAATCAGAGATTGCAACAGAGATTGCATCTGCCTTTTTCATCACTGCACCTCTAGGGCCCAGCACTGCCAACTAACAACCTTGTTGGGTCACTCAGTGTGAAAACTCCATGCACACAATAAATGATTGACTTGTCCCTTGCTTAGGTGGTTTCTTCCTAGGGTCAAGGGTTCCTGTGGGAGAGGAGGAACCCGTATTCTGTGTTCCTCAATTCCCACACTTCCCTTCTGAATGAACTCAAAGGTACTCTAAGAAAATGCAAGCAGCAGAACCACTAACCTCAGCACATCCACGATGTTGCAGGTAGCCTTTAACTCTCTGATATCATCATCTCGCACAGGAGCGCACAGCTTTCCCATCGTACTGATGACGTAGTTGGCCAGGGCTTGGATGTCGACAGCACTGTGCTCAGCCTGCTGCCTAATGAGGTCTGTGTCCAAAACTTCACAGATCTGGTTGCGAAGCCGGTTGCCACCAGGAGTCAGAAAAGAGAGGAGAACCTATACAGGGAAAGGAAAGAAAAATTAACAGCATCCTTACATGAATAAAGGTTGTCATTTCTAATTTCAATGTCTAGATGACCAAGCTCCCTGTCCATATTTTAATGCCCCGGATGCCACAGAAGTTTGCATCGAGTGGTGGATCAGAGGAGCACTCCAGGGTCCTGACTCTGAAAGGAAAGCTCTGTCTTCTGAATGAAAGCCTCCCCTCCTCTCCCATGGGAAGTTACTAACACTATCAGAATGAAAACAACTGGCAAGGAAGCAATACTATTGAAAGAACTTCAAAAAGTTTACAGAGAAACCGTGCAAAGACAAGTTGCAGATCATGGCTCCAAAAGAACCCTTTAAAGAAGGGCAAATAGAAACATCCCCATGGGCTCTATTAGTATAATATATTTACATGTGAAATATTACATATTATGTGAGCAACCTATATTGTGTATTCACTACACAGCAGGCACTGTACTTATAGACACAGCACGTGGTTAGGCGAACAAGCTCTGAGCCGGAGTGCCTCAGTTCAAATCCCTTCTACCCCTCAAAGCTGTGTGACCTTGGGTGAGTCAGGGAACTTGGTTTCTTTATATAAGATAATAACAGGCATAACTACCTCACAGCATTATAGTAAGGATAGATGAATAATCTAGTGCTTGGCACAGAGCAAGTGTCTTGTAAAAGTTAGCTATGACTGTCATCTGATATAATTCTCACAACCACTCCGGAGACAGACTTAAGAAGAGAGAGCCTGTCACTAAAGCAGGTCTATCTAACTCAGGCTCTGTGCTCTGAAGCACCACAGCCACTGCCCTACATGCTAAGCATTGGCTTGAGTTCCTGCCGCTGCCCTGTTTTCCCAGCCTGCACCCCATTCCAGGAGGTGCTGGAAAAAAACCCTTTTGGTGACTGAACTGGCTCAGTGTTTCAAAAGAGTCTCCAATACTCTCTGCAGGACATGAAAACAGCCTTTGGGGGGAAAATTACTAATTAATACAGACAAAATCAACTTGCCTCTCTGATTTCTTCAAACAGTTTGATGGCGTGTTCATACTCAGGGGGCTCAGCGTTCAGTTCTGATTCCAAGACGTCCCAGAAGGCCTGGTGGACAATGTGCCTCACTCTACCGGCCAAGCTACAGGAATGAAATGGATCGTTTATTAAAATAAGCACTATTTTTCCTGATTATAAAAGAAAGATGCTTATTGTAGAAATCTTAGAAAATGCAGAAAAACAGAGAATAAAAATTGCTCATAATCCTATTATTAATCTTTTGACGTATTTGACATATGTTCAATGAATGCATTGTTTTAATATAATTGTTTTAATACTGACTCTGTACAATATTATTTCATTTAATAGTCTGTCTTAAGTGTCTCCCCTAGATTTTTTAAATGCTTCCTCCTTATAGCTTTTGATATGCTCATAAAATTTTGTCCTAAGGAGATACCATAATTGACCTAGCTACTCTTCTACACAGACTTTTAGACTTGGTCTAGATTTGGGGGATGAGATGGCAAAATTGCTCTTTCCTTAACAGCTGAAGTTTCATGGCATGGAACAGAACAGATTGGCCCATGGAGACATGCATTTGATTGCCTGCCAGCTTCAGCTTAGATGTCCCATTTAAAGTTGGCCAGACCAAAACTGCTGAAATAGGAGCCTTCCTAGGAAAAGCTAACAATAGAGTAGGTGGCCACCTTGCTTTACCCTGTATCTCAATGCCCTAAAATAGGTGTATGTTAAAACACACAGGGACCTCTCTGGTGATCCAATGGTAAAGAATCTGCCTTCCAGTGCAGGGGACGCAGGTTCAATCCCTGGTCGGGGAACTAAGATGCCACAGGCCACGGGGCAGCTCAGCCCACACGCCACAGCTACTGAGCTTGCGTGCCTCAACTAGAGCCCGTGAGCCACAAACTACAGAGCCCACCCGCCACAACTAAAGAGAAGCCTGTGCACCGCAACAAAAGATCCTGCATGGCTCAACGAAGATCCTGCGTGCCACAACTAAGACCTGACGCAGCCATAAAAATAAATAAATAAATTTTAAAATAAATAAAACACACATTCCTACTGAACTCCTACACCACTTTGCAACAGCTTTTAGAAAAGCGCATATTTCCCTGAACTGTAATTACCTGCAAGTCTCTATCCCACACAGGGCTATACACCTCTCTCAGGTAGAGGTCACTTCTTCTAGGTACCTGCCACTGTACCTAGCATAACACTGGTCATTTACTGAGGGTTCACTGAATGCATGGTGAATGAATTAATAATTTGATAGTTAAGCATATCTCCTAATTTTTCTTTTAAAGTACAAATAGCTAAAAATACAATAATGCTATGAGAAGTGAAAATTAGCTTTCTGAGGAGCATGCGTTAAAACTGTTTCCATAACTGCAAATACTATATTCTACTCAGCCACTTTAAATGTGAAAACTTATTCTAGTTGCCTGAATAGATTTATTCAACATAAATGCCATTTCCAATGTTTGAGACTCTCTTGAGCAATTACAGAACAATTAGAAAGACAAACATTGCTGGGACAGACTTTTGCTCTGAACTTTACAAGCCTCATGTACTTGGCTTGAATGCACCAACCAGGAGTGAGCTAAAACAACTTTATAGCTCCTTGAGGGATGTCGGAGTTTAAGTTTTCCCAAAGGCTACAAGCTTTTTAATTTGGGGGAGTGGAAGAGGTAGGGAGGAAGGGGTGGAGATGAAATCAGTCAAATCATTTATAAGCATTCCTACCTGGTATCAGAAATCTGACTTATTTTACCAAGTGTTTCCCCCCACTTGGTAAAATATGAGAGTCGGCCATATTTTAAAGAGTAACAAGAGACAGTGCTTTGAGAGCTATCACCCTGTCTCCTTATTTGTCACAAATAATAAATACTTATGCTTTGATAAAAAAAAGAAAAAAAGTAACGTCTTGGTCATTGTGGAGGGTCATCTGAAAAATCAGCAGCTAATGATACGCTATTTCACTTTTAAACAAAGGTAATGTGTCCCAACTCTACGTGTTGTCTCCCTTGCTCACATTTTCTAGCCGTGGCAGAAAATGAAGAGAAGGGGAATTCGTTTCTTCCACAGTATCAAAGTACTTACATGCAAGGCACTTATATGCCCAGGAGCATGCATTTAGAGTGAGTGTTGTGGAGAATGCGAGGCTCAGATATGGTCACAGCAGAGCCAGGATTCAAACCCCGGGGTCTGTCTGATCCTAAAGGGCCTTCATTCAGCCTGTATTTGCAACTTTTGAATTTAAAGCACAAACACTCCCAATTTGTCTTTTCTGTACTTCATAAAACATACTTATTTTAACTTCAAAAATTCATTTTTATTAGTCAATAAATGTTTATTCAAAATTCAATATGTGGTAGGCCCTGTTTCAGGTGCTTGGGTGTAGTGAAAAGAAAGCCTCTGCTCTCAAAAAGCTTACATGTTAGCAGAGACAGAAAAAAAACACACTGAAAGAGAGTAAGACAATTTCAGAGCCACAAGGAAGGCAGAGGAAGACAATGTGGTCCACAGTGATGAAGAGGTGCTGATTTGGTGGGGTGGTTGAAGAAAGCTTCTCTAAGACAGTAAGCGACCTTAGAGCTGAGACCCAAATGGGGAAAAGAAAGCAGCTGGTGAAGATCTACGGGAAAAACATTAAAAAAGAAGGAAGGGGCTTCCCTGGTGGCGCGGTGGTTGAGAGTCCGCCTGCCGATGCAGGGGACACGGGTTCGTGCCCCGGTCCGGGAAGATCCTACGTGCCACAGAGCAGCTGGGCCCGTGAGCCATGGCTGCTAAGCCTGCGCGTCCAGAGCCTGTGCTCCGCAAAGGGAGAGGCCACAACAGTGAGAGGCCCGCGTGCCGCAAAAAACAAAAAAGAAGGAAGAAGGTCCAAGTCCCTGGGATGGGATCAAGCTGGTGTACTCCGGGATCCGCAAGGAAGCTTCAGTGTGGCTGAAGCACAGCAAGCAGGAGGAAAAGGAGGGAGAGACATGGTCAGTGAAGGTGGGCCTTGCTCATCATACTAAAGAGTTTGAATTTTTATTCTAAGTGTAATAGAACCATTGAAGGGTTCTATAAGCAAAGACATGATCTACTCTGATTTACCCATTAGAAAGATGGATGTGGAGGATGGACGATGCGGGAGCTAAGGATGGAGACTGGGCAACTAGTTAGGACACAGAGTCCAGGTCAGAGGCGACGGTGGCCTGGCCTGGGGGTGTAAGCAGCACAGCTGATATAAAGGATCATGGTGAAATGCAGTCACCATAGAAAACCAAACAGATAAACCTACTTTGGCCAGTAATCCTAAAAAGTATTAGTGATTATTATAAACAACATCCCCAGGAAGAAGACTATGATCCATATTTTAAAGAAGGAAAATTATTGTGTTTACTATTTTCCTGCTTTAAAACAAAAAAAGTTCTGAATGGAATCAAATATTATATGTTGTCTTAAGTGACAGAGAGAATGCCTCCCAATTTATGAATGGCACAGGGAGTTTTAAGATTCAGTGCCGTTATCCATGAGCCAATTTTTTTTTTTTTTTTTTTCGGTACATGGGCCTCTCACTGCTGTGGCCTCTCCCGTTGAGGAGCACAGGCTCCGGACGCGCAGGCTCAGCGGCCATGGCTCACGGGCCCAGCCGCTCCGTGGCACATGGGATCCTCCTGGACCGGGGCACGAACCCACGTCCCCCACATCGGCAGGCGGACTCTCAACCACTGCGCCACCAGGGAAGCCCCCATGAGCCAATTTTGTCTCTAAAGACTATTTACCTGCAGTAACGGCTGCAAGACTTTTCTCCTCTTTGTCCCAGGGGACCTGTGAGCCACTAAAAGCAGAAAGACTGAGGTAGGATATAAGGGCATGGCTCTAACTAGAGATCCCTTGAGCATGAGGTTAACCAGGGGTGCCTATGCAGCTGTGATTCCTCCCTCCAGAGGCTTCTGGATCACCTCTTACCACTTTGGCAGCTCAGCTGCATTTATTTATCTTTCCCAACCTGAATATTAGTTTTTAATAAGTCAGGCTGCAAATATTTCTTGAGCAGGTAGTACATGTCAGGCACTCTGCTAGGCAATAAGGACAGAGCAAACAATATAGACATAGTTTCTCCGTTAATGGGGCTTTTGGTCAAGTGGGAAAGACAGACTTTGAACCTAAAATTATAAAACATCTTAACAAGAGGGAGGTAGAGGGGGCTCTAGGAGTCTTTAGAAGGGGATTTAATGTAGTCTAGTGAGCTCAGGAATGTCAGGAAAAGCTTCCTTCAGGAAGAGACACATAAGCTGAATTCTAAAGATTGTGAGTAACATATACCCTAGAGGAGTGGTTTTAAAAACAACTATAAGACCTTGCTGGAGAACTAAATACTGTTAACTCCCAGTGGATATTATATGAGACTGTCCAGGAATCAGTGTGAAAATCTGTGTTTGCAGTACACACACACACACACACACACACAGTGCAGCACAGGTTATGCACAACACATGCCTCCAGGTTACCTGTTCTCAGGGAGGGCATCTTGTTTCAATTGAAAGTTCTCATTTACAGCAATCTCATGAGCAAGAGTCATGTTTGATAAGTTCCTTGCTGCAGCCATCACTTCATCAAATGTTACAACCCTGGGAGGGCTTGTTGCTGAAAAGAAGACAAAAACCAGTTAATGCTCTGGAAGGAGCTGTCATCCAATGAAGCCTCCTGATGCACACAGGGTTTAAGTTACTCCAACATATATTTTCAGTAAGAAGAATACATATCAAAATAGATCGATTCCCCCACTTAATACTTAAGGCTCCAAAAATCTAAGAACTCCTTTGATAGCTTCAGTTACTGTATTGAAAATAAACTGTTGGCTGCTCTCGCCTTCTGAGATAGCCCACGCTCTATCTGTGGAGTGTGTTTCTCTCTAAATAAATCCACTTCTTACCTATCACTTTGTCTCTCACTGAATTCTTTCTGCCATGAGACATCAAGAACCTGAGCTTCATTAAATCCTGAAACCAGATACTGAAACCCCCACCAGGTGGGAGAAGTTAACTATATGCTGCCACAACACTCAGACCCAGGACCAGTTGGAACCAGAAGGTTGATGCTGCTGACTCCCACGTACCTCACCACCAGCCAAGCAGAAGAAAGCCCATAAGCTGATCACGTCCTCCTCTTTGAACCATTACTATACAACTCCTCACTAACCCCTCCAGGTCAGGACACTCAGTTTTGAGAGCATTAGCCCTCTGTGGCCCCTTTGCTTGGCAAAGCAATAAAACTATTCTTTACAACTTCAAAAAAAAAAGAAAGAAAATAAATTGTCAAATGTTTCTAAGAAAATTTTATTAATATAGGCTATTATAAGTTATTTTTAAAAATTAAATCACCTCATTTTTTTAGTGAACATCATATCTGCATTTATTACATGTACTCTACAGGAAACTGATGACTACTTTTTATTCTGTAATTCATAACTCCCATTAATTTAAGCAGACTCAAAATGAACTGATTTTTTAAAACTATAGTTTTGAAAAGTATATGCCGTATAGCACAATTCTAAGTTTTGCTAATTGGTAGTTATCATTTGACTTCGCTGAAGCATAACTTACCTCCTCGTAGGACTGTCCTGAGGTGACTAAACAAGATAATTTAAGTAAAGAACATGGTAAGAACTCAATAAATGTAGATAATTAAAATAAAATAAATCTGATAATCTACTTCTCAGTAGGAAATAGTGGGTAAAGAATTATTTTAGTTATCTGTAAAGATTATTCAAAAAATTATTCTAACAAGTCATGTCTTTTTGAAATCATTGTTGGAACTCTTCGCTTCTGTTAATTAAAAATCATTACCTCAAACAACAATCCTGACTGCACCCCCTGCATTGGAAGCACGGAGCCTTAACCACTGGACTGCCAGGGAAGTACTTAAAATAATTTTAGAAATAAGAAGAGGAGGAGGTAGTGGAGAAGGTGGAGATGGAAGAGGAGGAGGAGGAGGAGGAAGGAATGCTGATATACAATTAGTAAAACCCTTCTTCAGGACACCTAGGTTCCCTGCTGGAGACATCAACTCCATGTATAGTAATAAAGACTAAGAAAAAGCACTGAAAGCTGGGGTGCTGCTAATAAATTCTTTTGCCAATTCTCTTTCCCATTAAGATTCTCCTTAAAACTGTCTGTATCCTTTGGTCCAGCAATCCAATTACATCCAAAGGAATTCCTAGAAAGGCTTTATGCACCACGATGTTCATAAAGCACTATTTGTAACAGCAAAAAAAAATAAATAAATAAAGGAAATGAACTAAATGCCCAATGATAAATCAGAGGTCAAATAAATTGATGGTATTTTCACTTGGTAAAGTAGTAAACAGTCATAAAAACGTTTTAAAAAAAACATTATCATGAGTAAATATTTTAGTTATAATAGTAAGTGAAAAAAGTCCACATACATATACAAATGTATATCTATGTGCAGTATGAAGATATGACAAAGCACTATCACCTGTCATCTTTGGGTGACATTATAGGCGATAATTTCTTTTCTTTCTACTTATCTACCTTTCCATTTTTTTAAATGAGAATGTACCACTTTAGAATAAATACACAACAGATGAATGGATAAAGAAGATATGGCACATATATAAAATGGAATATTACTCAGCCATGAAAAGGAATGCAATTGAGTTATTTGTAGTGAGGTGGATGGACCTATCGTCTGTCATACAGTATGAAGTAAGTCAGAAAGAGAAAAACAAATACCGTATGCTAACACATATATATGGAATCTAAAAAAAAAAAAAATGGTCATGAGGAACCTAGGGGCAAGACAGGAATAAAGATGTAGACCTACTAGAGAATAGACTTGAGGACACTGGGAGGGGAAAGGGTAAGCTGGGACAAAGTGAGAGAGTGGCATGGACATATATACACTATCAAATGTAAAACAGATAGCTAGTGGGAAGCAGCTGCATAGCACAGGGAGATCAGCTCCGTGCTTTGTAACCACCTAGAGGGGGTGGGATAGGGAGGGTGGGAGGGAGGGAGATGCAAGAGGGAAGAGATATGGGGATATATGTATAACTGATTCACTTTGTTATAAAGCAGAAACTAACACACCATTGTAATGCAATTATACTCCAATAAAGATGTTAAAATAAATAAATAAATAAATACAAATGAACAAACTTTTTCTGAAGTGGGCATTTGATCATATTAAATCCTAGTTGCTTCTCTCTGCATTTGCTTGGGCAGCTTAAGGAGTTATATTTCCCATACAAAATGTCAATTAAAAAGCTAAAAAAAAAAAAAAAGACAAACACATGGCTTCACACATTTCTAGCTTCCACACACAAAAAAGGAAAAAGACATCTCCCTTCACCATGGCACTCTTTTCATTCCTTCTCGTACTCCTGGTGCAGTAATTCTCCTCACGGGCACTTTTCTGGGGTGATTTGCACAACAGTTTTTGAAATCAGTAGGAAACCCTTTAGATTATTTCATTTCCTGCCTGACCCTTGAGTTGGGGCAAGTTTTGTTCCATGTAAACAAGAAAGGACCGATTTGAATTTACCCTTGAATGTGGCTCAAAAAATGATCTCAAGAAGGAGTAGCTTTCTGCTAATTGAGAGAGACCTGATTTATAGCCAAACCAAAGCAGATCAGAGACATTGATGAAAATAAAAATGGGCAGATTGTAAACGTCAGTGGCAATTTATTGCTGAGAGCATGTACAAGACAGCTGCAGGGCCCTGGCAGTGCCATTCCAGTACATCTAGAAGGGAAAAGTCAGTACTTTGCTCTCATTCATTTCCGAGTTTTAAAATCCAACACGCGTGTCTAGAACCACCTCCACTCCCCACTGGCTTACAAGCAGGAGAGCTGGATTTGCTAGAAGAGTCACTTGTAAAGCTCTGCCTGGAGCACTCATAGTCACTGAGCGAAGCCATGCTTTCGGAAAACCGGGAAGAGTCTGAATCGCTTGGCTGGTCCTCGCCCACACACTGCTTCTCACCATTGAAGGGCATTTTGTGTCACTGGAGTGTGGGTAAAGAGACAGCACCTGCACAGACAAACAGACCCTGTGTCAACGTTCTGCGGTACTCCCTCCAGTGGTGCTGGTGCTTCGTTCAATGCAGACAGCCGTGTCGCATGTGTCACAGCACTGGAAAGGCCCCCAGAAGATGACCTCCTTCCTCCCATGGCACCCGGGCCAGGCTATCACTAGACCTGCAAGACTGCCTTCCAGAAAGGGATTCCACAGCCAAGGTGTGAGCTCACACAGGACATACTTGGTGTGAACGTGGAGCAGCCCCCAGCAATAAAGCATCCTCAAAAAACAATGTGCAGAACACACACTCTCTCCTCCTGGGGTTGCTAAAGCGTGGGATGGTAAGAGTGAGAGTGTGGGGCTCTGGGTTTGAAGCTTGTTCTGTCTTTTGACATGTGACCTTGGAGAAGTCACTTAACTCCCTACCTCATGAGTCAAGCTGGGCTGAAAGACTAACCTCATAGGGTTGCTTGAAGATGAAACAGGATTAATCTTATTAAAGTGCTTAGCACAGCATTCAAATGTTTGCTATTATTATTGTTCCTCTTTGTTTTAAATAAAATATTTTTGAAATCAGCCTTTTTAGTTGTCTATGAGCCTCCTAGGGAAAG